ATATCACAAAACTCCTTGCAACATTGCACTTTTTTGCATCTGGGTCATTCCAGCGTACGGTTGCAGCGAGAGCTGGGATCTCAAAATCTCGTTTTTTCAGAAGTGCTGTCTGACAGGGTCGGGGTTCTCCCCCTGCGCCTGTGGAGCAACATGCCAATGCTGCGGGGCTTTACTGCAGTGAAGTAGAAATTCAGCCACATACCACCTTAGGGAATAAAGGTTGCCAAAGTTTTTTTCTTTATATATATATATTTTTTTTTTTGGAGGGGGTGGGGTTGTCACTGTAAGATTAAAATTTCTTAATGCACTAGTTTGCACAAACTACAAACTACTTTGCCGCAAACCACAAAACGCGCAAAACCATCATTTAAATAGGGTGTCTCCAACAGTTTTGCACCTGCCACCAGTTACACAATCACTCTTGTTAAATCACCCGCAAACCATGGTTCAGTCCCTCGCGCAAAATTCCAGTTTGCGAGCGCAAATTACTGCACGCAAAATGGGATCTTGATAAATCCGGCCCAGAGTGTGGAATCCTGAGGTTCTGAGTTCGAGCCCCACTCCCACAGACTGCCACGCTGGGTCCCTGAGCAAAGACCCCACACTGCTCCCCTGGCCCTGCAAATGGCTGCCCACTGCTCCCCAAGGGGTTAAATGCTGAGTTAATTTCATTGCTCTGTACTTGTGACAGTGTAACGACAATAAAGCTGGAGAAAAAAATAATAAATAAGCACTTACCTCGAAGAATTTGATAGAGAAAAACTTTGGCATGGTCTGAGCTCAGAGGCTGCGGTGAAACAATGATCTTATGGAGGTCACTTTGCATAAGTTCAGTCACAACATAGCTGAATATTTGGAGATTAAGGTTCAAAACCTGAATCGTAATGGATACACTCAGTTGCCCCACAGTTTAGTGAGGTGTGGTTTAGCTGCAGTATCAACAGTATTCTGGTCTACATCCTGGTCTTGTGGCTTTCAAACTAATGATCCTTTGATCAGCTTTTTTTCCCCTTTTTTTAATCAACACAGACTTCAGAATTTCTAAAGCTGAAGGACATAAAGTACAAATATTGTTACTAAACCAAGTGCTTGCAAAGGGACTTTTCTTTTTTCCTATTCTAGAGGGAGTTAGGGGGTAGGATATAAAGAAAATATACAATCGCTCAGTGGAGGACCTCACAGTGGAGCTCTGTACTGACAACCAAAGGAGCAAACCAGCAAGTAGAGTAGTATATACAAGACTTAAAAAACACTTCTCACTCTCTCAAGGTCCATTTTCTGGAGCAGCCTGCTATCAGTGTGAATGCGTGTTCGTCCCATGTGCAGTAAAAGCATGAAGAAAGGATTTGCCGTAAAAAAAAAAAAAAACACTATTGACTGTAGGACAACTACATTTGAAGTAGCAACAGAAACTCCATAAGACAAAGTTTCTTCTTTGTATTGTTTGCTCTTGATCACCAGCACTGGGGCAATATTGCATCAGAATTACAATTCCTACAGTAGTATCTGGAGTTCTGTAAGGCTACATCTTAGGGGGTTCATCCCACTCCATATCTAGATAAACAGAATTTATTAGAACTATGCAGACGACACACAGCTGTACATTACAACGGGAACGGGTGACTGAACCTGTTCAAACGCTGGGTAAATGCAAAATAAGAACTTGATGCATGGATGTGCAAAAACGTTCAGTTAAATTAAAACAAAACTAAAGTCATAGTTTGTGGATCAAAGGAAGGGTGAATAAGAGTTAGCATGCAGCTTCAGTTAACGCAGCTACAAAACAACCAAAAAAGGTTAGTGCAGGTGATCCTGAACATTCAGAGGCACATAACGCCAGTAGCAAAGTCGGCCTTCTACCACCTAAAGAACATCTCCAGGATTCAAGGACTGATCTACCCAGTCAGCCTCAGCAAATAGCTGCTCACAATGAGCCTGGTTCTGCTGGAGGTTTCTTCCTGTTAAAAGAGAGTTTTTCCTCTCCACTGTCGCTTCAAACTTGCTCAGTGTGAGGGATTGCCTTTGAGTCAATAAGTCGAATGCAATCACCAGTTTTTAGATAAATAACTTAATCAGTTTGACTGTATGAGATGGTTGAATTTTCTCCATAAAGTGCCTTGAGATGACATGTGTTGGGAATTGAGGCTATAGAAATAAACTGAATTGAATTGATGTGTCGGCGGGATCTTATAAAATGAATTCAAGTTAGTAGAATGATCACTGCAACTGCCCCTTCACAGGTTTGAAAACCTATCAGACAGCTGCAGTTAATCCAGAATGCTGCTCCCCACCTAAAGCTGCTATAAATCAGGATTAAACACCTTTTTGTTTAGAATTTCTTTCGACTGTGTTTTCCAAACAAATTAAGTTTGGTTTTTTTCAATTATTTCTGTCTTTTTCAATATAATAATATTGACTTAATTATCATTACCTTTATGCATCTGCGGTGTACTTTTTGTCTAACCACAGTAGTATGCCATTTAGTTAAACTTGCCTTGCCATGATCATTTATGGCCCTTTCTAAAATCTTACCCTGAAAGCAAACCGCATAAACTGAAGGTGTAAATTTTCTAACCTTAACAGCTTCCTGTACTGGCTCCAACAGTGTGAATGCACCTGTTAGAGCTAGATGTAGAAATGTTATTTGCGTGCTGTTAGATGCATGCTAATCTGTGTATTTCTGTTACCTTATATGGACATTAGGGATGGAACGGTTTATGAAAACCGTCCGAACCGTTCGGTTCGATTGTCTTGGTTCGATTCGCGTGTGTTGCGTTCGGTTCATGCGCTGCTCCTTTTTCTCATAGGCGAAGCGTTTACACTCCAGAACAGAAGGTGGCGGTACTGCGACCAAAGCCAACCATCAGTAGTAAACAAGAAGAAGCAAAGCAGCTTAGCCGGGTGTAGCAGAAAAAAAATCAGTTGTTGTGGAGAATTGTGTGGGTATGGCGAGTGGGAAAGAACAGGAGTTGGAAGACGCGCCAGCAGCACTTTATAGGTCTGCTGTAAGGGACCACTTTGCATTTAGAGTGACCTACGATGACGGCGGAAAGAAAGTTGTGGAAGTCTGTTTCTAGAATATATCCAGCCGATAGCTTA